GGATGGTCAATGACGGGGTCCGAGATACTCTTTTCTCGTCTCTGCGGCGACGTTAACACGGAGCTGACGGAAGCAGCGGAAGAAATGACGGTGAACCTTGCAAACGCATGCTGACAACGCACGAGATGCGACGATAGCGCGAGGAAAGATGATTTATGACCGTGGGACACGCCATGTCGTTTGCTAAACTTCGCGAACGGGTGCGCGGGCGTGTGCGTGTGTACGCGTGTGTCCACGCGCGTGGGGGGAATAGAGCTGGTCGAAAAACGCGAAGAGTGGAGAGAGAGAGAGAGAGAGAGAGAGAGAGAGAGAGAGAGAGAGAGAACGGAGAAGGACTAGAGTAGAATTTATTTCCAAAGAGAGAGAGGGAGAGAGAGTAGTAAACTCTCTCAGGATACTATACATGATATATGAGTATACACGACAAATAGTAAATACAAAGAAAAATATATAAAGAAAAACTTACAAAGAAAAGTGAAAGAAAAGTAGATAACAACGTGTACGTTACAAGAGAGTAGTACAAAACGAAAGGAACGTCGTGTTGTGTGACTGAATATCAAGTTAAGAGTACAGAACCCTACGTTACATACGAAAATAGAATGGTTGTGCAATGACCGAGACTAACCTGGAGTCAACTTTTAATACACGTGCATAATCATTCATAAGTTTAAGTTATGTATAGGAAGTTTCTAACGAATTTAATTTCCAATTAAAATAACTAAGCATTAAAATTTCAATAAGTAAACTTTTCTTGAAATTTAATTTAATACTACTGAGACATGTAATTCTGCATATTTAAAAAAGCGAGAGAAAATTGACCAAATTAAATTTTTATTAAAAAAAAAAACTCGATAATTGAATCAAAGAATTGAATTTTGTCTAATTTTGGAATATTCTACATTTGTCAATCGAACGAGAGGAAACGAAGGGAAGAGGTGAAATGATGCCGAAGCGGGTCGTCACGGTTCGAAAGGATTGTAACATTGAAATTTGGATCGCTGTCTTTGCGATGCTTCACGTCTCGTTTGCTCCTGTCGACTTTACGCGGTCGTGTTCAAAAGCGTCTCGTACGTGCGCCTGTCGTCGTGAGACGCACAGGTCAAAACGCATGAGTAGCGGCGCGACTCACGTGCACAATCATTGCAACTGCAATTTATGGAAGCCGCTTGTCGTGATCGCGTGCTAGATCACGTGAGAGACCCGCGATATTTCCGAGAGAAATTTATATTTTTTTTATCTTGGCACGTGCTTGCTGAAAATCAAAAGAGCTTTGTTCTCTCTAACTTCTTTGTATAACTCGCTATCGTTATATTTAATTGCGAAGTATTTTGTAAAATGTCGATAAGTTTCTTTTAATTTTTTTTTTTTTTTTTGAGCAAAATTCTGCGGTCCTCGAGCTTAACGCGCTGCGTCGACCGTATTTTCCCGCAATTTTCCCCGACGGACGCGTTTGACCGCAACCTCCGGTTTACAATTAAACAACGCGTTTACTGCAAAAACGATCACCGGCGATTCGTTCGGGGCAAAGAGATTGCACGGGGTTTGCAATCTTTGGCCGATGGCCGCGGCGGTAATGGCGCTTCGGTTACATCGTCGCGGTGAAAAACGTTTTTTTGTTTTGTTTTTGTTTTTACGCTCTTCTCACTCGAAGTCGCCGCCGGGCGCGATTCATAAAATAAAACTGGCGCTGCGTGCAAGAGTGTCCGATTGGCTTGTCGAAACGCGTCGCGGGCATTAAAAGGTGGCATAAACGCGCGCTTGCAAGCGGACGCGTTAACTCTCTTTGCGCTCATTTTAACCGCCATACGACACATCGTAATTTCACCGAGAGGCGCCACTTTCACGCGCGCGCACTAATATCCCGATAGTGTACGTAAATGTTTTTTTAACGAAGAATTTATTTTCGCTTTGATCTATCGGCGCGCGCCACGCGATTTCGTTCTGCTTGTTGAACGCGCACAAACGCTGTCCGGAGTCGCCCCGCGCCGGATTTCAACCACCGATTGCATAATTCGTTTGGGATAAAATCGGCGTTTGCTTCGAGAAAAACCAATTGAAATTGGTAAAAAAAAAAGCAAATGGAAAGGATGAATTTCTCTTTGCGAGAAAAAAAGGAGAGGAAAGCCGATAATTACTTACGTCGACGGCCTAAACGCGAATTCGGGTCGAATACGCGGAATATATGGTCCGAGTATGCATAAGTAAAAGCAATTGCAATATGCCGGTTCGATTCTGACTTTTTCTTGCCCCTATCGCGTAACGATCGATGCGGTCCACATGTATACATGCGTATACATATATTGACAGGTACGCTCCTTTTTTGTCTCTCTCTCTCTCTCTCTCTCTCTCTCTCTCTCTCTCTCTCTCTCACGCGCGCGCGATCTCATATATGCTTGTGCCAGCGAAATATAATTCGCACTCGCCCAGTCCCCGTGCGCCGTGCGCGAGAATGGCTAAAGAGAGAAGAGCAAAATTTCCCGAATAGCTCAGCGCTTGCCGAGATGATTGTTGTACGTATACGAATACGGTCAGGAAAAAATGTCTCCTTTCACTGCGAAATACCGTTCGCGTAGATACTTTTCAGACATGGCCGAGTAAGATGACTTATACATTTACAATCGCGAGAAGAGCAATGTGTTTCCAAGATAATCGAAGATAATGAAAAGAAATCATTCTGTCTTCTGCCCCTTCAGTAGAATATATGTTACGTATTTCTTAACGAATGAAAGATGCATAGAAAAAAATTTATGTATATTTTTCGTAGAATTTATAAAATTGCAAATCTGATGGCGTTAAAAGGTGTCGATAAATGGTAGCTCGATAAGAATCCTACTCGGATATTTTAGTTGGCGCAATAATATCTGTAACAAAACTGTACATTGAAAAAGTAAAGCAGGAACTTAAAAAGAAAGCCTCGCAAAGTGTCCGCGTCGTGACAATCTGCTCCGAAAACTCGTCGGACAAGAGCTAAACACGCGGTAAAGTTTTTCGTGCTGGCACGCGTATACAATCTCGAAAGACACTGACAGCCGGCCACTTCGCCTGCCGCTCCTCTCTTATGCGACGCTAACGACAGAAACCAGAAGAATTTATTCGGGCCGCTTATCGAGACCTCCCAGGGAAGAAGACCGGTTGTCCATCCGCGACTCGAAGATTAATGAACGCGGTACTAGAAGCGGAGGCTCATTAGAACGCATTAACCTCGGGCGCTTTCTTTTTTTCTTCTCTCGCATTACTCAATCCTAATGACATATTGACCACTACTCCGCGAAGTATCAAACCTTCAAAAAGGAATATATATGATCGCTGCTGCCTGTCGTAAATTGCGAGTCGTTGATGGGGAATAATTTTCGACGTGTATACGTAGCACAGACTTATGAGTACCCATACAGAGATAGCGACGACAAAGCGATTTATATTCAGAATCGTTACAAGGTTCCATCATATTTTTGATTTTACTAAAAATGTCAAAATGTAGGGCATATTACTTTAAATGTATTCCACTTAAAACTATCGTAATATCGTGTACAGAAATTTTAGTTACATTATAAAAAAATATCTTGTAAATTTTTGGTGTTATTATTCTATTATAATTTTTAAAGCTAACTTTAATTAGATATATATTTATCATTATATGTCATTTTTTTTCATTCTATATTATTTTATCATTTATCATTGTATGTCATTTTTTTTTCATTCTCTATTATTTTATCATTCTATAAATATATTGATGGAACAGCATGTGATTTATTTGCAAACATCAAAATCAAAAGTAAGCTAAGCTCACGACGCCGCGATAGCACAGTTTTCTTTAGCATGTAACCTCGATTAATCTTCGACGGTCCAAAATCGACCCGATGAATAGAACGACATGTGCGCGAACAACAATGTGTTCCCTGGATCATATCTTATCGCCATTATCGTGAATCTCTCAAAAGAGGTTGGTTTATCTGCCGGCGGAATATGGGCCAGATAATTTTATAGTGTAACAAAAAGCCGCGAGCGCGGGGCTTTAGAGGAGAAGATTTCCCTTACTATGTTTCGGACGAGAGCATTTTCCGCGTAAATAACTCGTCATTCATCTTGTGACTTTGCCGAAGGCGAAATAATTGTGAGATGTGATCAAAGCTATACGCACTTATTTATATTGTTTTCGTTTGTTAGTCTCGCGCATTATATATTTTTTTGTAAATAATTCCATTGGAATATGAATGAGACTTGGAATCTTTCTCGTTGTATTTTTCGCATAAATACGACAGAAAAGTTGATTTTGAAGTTATGCTCAAGCTTTTTTCACAACACAAACGTCAGAAGCGGATGAAAATTGCGAGCGATTTAGCAAGCGCGATTAAACAAAACGGCGTGCAATAACCTTTATCAAAATAACGACATCTCGAATTGCGATAAATATAGCGCGTTCGATTAAGCATACCGTAAATTTCGTCGCGTTGACCATTTCGATACCGCAAATATTTTTTTCATCGTTTCAAAGAAATATTTATTTTCCAGGTTTTACAAAAAAAACCCTTTCCCCTTTGTTTACGTGATAATCGGAAAATTGACAAAACCATCGCGTATAATAATTGTAGTCTATTAGGTATCAGAAATTTTGGGTCCTGCATGTGCCGCGAGTGACAAGACTTTTTAATTTAATCACACACAAAAACGATATGTTTTACAATTAAATGCGACTGAGTTTGGCGTCTGGTGTATCCATCAGCCTCGTTCAACTTTTTACTTCGTTTTTTTTTTTTTGAAATTGATATTAAAGACACGTTTGCGGGATTTGTCTCGTGAATAATTTATGGAATCGATCGCGCATCAAACATGCGAACGTGATCGCATGCGTGCGCGCGCACGGATAAATCGCGCGAATATACGAAGGGTCGACAAAGGGTAAGTGAGACTCGCCGGACTCTCGTACATACATCAAATACGCGCAATAATACACGCGAGTGGAAACGAGGAGAAAAGAGAAATGAATTCGAAAGTGTACTTACCTCCGTGCGCTGCGATAACCTCTTGTTCAACTCGTGGAGCCTGTAGTCCGGTTGGCTGTAGCCATAGGCTGGAGTATGCCTCCTGGGGACAGGCAACGATCTGTCAGATCAGACCGATCGCTCATGTTAGGTGTGCTGTGTATAGCGTGTTATTTTCGCGTGTGTGCGCGTCGCGAATGTTTCATGCATGCAACACGTCGTCCCGGTCGCGTCGTGCGTCGTGCGTCGCGCGTCGCGTCGCGTCGCCACACTGCGCGAATTTTCGTAAGGCCCCGAGGGGTACGTGATTAATACTACCGGTTGGTCGGCCCTCTCCGAGCGCGGGCACGTCGCAAAACGCGCTCGGACATGGCACAGATTCGCGAAATGTAGTTTACGACTTTCACCACGACCGCGCCAATTCTCGATCCCTTTAACTCGCCGCGTTACGGAAGCGGAGGTTTCAACCGGCACTGTAGTGTCGAAGGGCCCGGGCGCAACAACGCCGGTCTCTAATCGACTTCCTCGAAAAAACTTTGAGAAATTATTACTTTAGAGTCGCTGGATATTATCGAAATCAATTTTCCAGAATTCTGGAATAAGGATGCTAGGTTATTATATTGTAACAAATTAATTTTTGCAAGTTCCGATTTCTCTCAATGACATTTTCGAGATTCAAAAATTCCCAAAATTCAGGTTTGTTTCCCTAGTGAAAATCCCGTTAAAAAAAGTATTTTTCAAACATAGTTCTCTCATCGAGACAGTTCGGACGCTCCTTTAAGATAGAGAAGCACAATTTAATAAAGTTTTGGCCTAGAACTTCGGTGCAAGTTATCTTGTGAATATGAAGACTTTTAAAACTGATTTTTAAATAATGCATGCACGTAATTGTGTATCGACGACGAAAGTTTAGTCGCTCAGCTGGTGAACTAATGCTACATCAAATTCATAATGACACGAAGGTCGTCATGTTTATGCTGTCAGTTCAATTGTCGGCGATCATTTAGACGCCAATAATTTAATGTCACGGATCAATTATAACATTATCAAACATATATTATACCAATTGGATATTGGTATGTCTAATTTTCACAAATTAACCGGTACAACGACGAACTGATTGCAATAACTTTGCAATGACGAACGTAAACGTGAATTTATTCTGTATTTTTTTTATCTTACTTGAATATTGTTATATTTATCATTATTGTAAAATCTGTTAATTATATTTATTTAAACAAACGATTCGTTTCTTTCTCTCTCGACTGAGATCAAATCTAAAAATTTCTGAAACGTTTATTCTAATTGTAAGTCGAAATAAATCATTGGCACAACATTTTCTATGATGTCCTTTTCATCTGCATAATTTTCAATACAAGAAGCACAGAGGATACAGTTACATGCCTTAATCAATGGCTTCCAAATCATCGAGGATCAAACCCTCGGCGGCTCCCGGTCGGTCCCGTGGAGTAGCAGTTGGTTAACCGGCGGGTAATTAACGTCGCGTTGATAATATTTAGTGCTCAGAATGCCCGGGATGGTGTTGTACCGCGCGCATATTCGCGCCCCGAGGCCGGACGAGCGATCATTAAGAACCGAGTGCGGTGCGGTGATTAATAACAAGAGTACGCAGAATATTCCAGCAATACAGAGACTCCGAGCGCGCCGCATTTCCGGTATACGAATTTCAGGAATACGTTCGACCTATACGATCGATACTATATTTAACACGTTACGCGTTTGCTCGCGACATTTCACGCGACGCGCGTAACATTCCGATCTACGAAAAAGAGACGAGTGGGTAAAGATCGAACGTTCAGAAAAAAGTGAACGCTAAGCCTATCGATACAAGATCATGTGAGATTTCTTGCTGCCTGGTGCATTCGGACGAAGTCGGACTTTCCCCCGAACTCGTGATATCGACCTTCGTGATACCTACGTGCCATGATTTCTTCCGTGTATCAGTGACCTTGTAAAATCGCTATGCTAATTATAACGCGCTTAGCTGCGGCGAGAGACAAAGATAAACAGAGTAGACATAAAACGTTCCTGTAATACCTAATGCAGGAATGATAATTGCGCGCGGACTGCTAAACGTATGTGCTGCGTCTCGGACTTGTTCCTTGACTGACATTGCAGAAGTATACGTTATTGCTTTATTAAGATTCTATAAAATCCACCACAGAAGAATTTCTGTGATTTTCCACCGGATTTGTGATGTCGGTGCTAAACATCCGGTAATGCGAATGATGCCGCGAGAGGGAACGATAATTTTTTCCGCCGATTGCTGAGCTAGGTGGAATTAGTTTTAATTAGCTAAAACATTGAAAACGTGGTCAAATGGGTTTCGACAAATCAGGATGTCAAAAATAGCCTTCGACGAAAAGATAAGACGGTTCCTTTGACTCTTCATTCGATCGATAAGATAAATCGCTTGAGCAAAGATTTCTCGAAATCTATGTCACGAGAAAGCATTAAAAACTGCATATAGATAAGCGTCTAACTTTGCGATCTACATGATAGATAAATATATGGACAAACAGATATGCCAACTTCTCCTATATGTGAAAGTAAAACCAACGTGATTGATTAAATTGAGAAATATGTTTAGCGATAACTTGAAAAGAAAAAGATGACAGAATATTAGATAAGACAGAGTCAAATAATAGAATGAATAATTGCGAATGGTTGACAGATCGGATCAAGACGCAGGAGCAAGTTTGACATGATTTTCTTTTTTCACGAAAAAATACTCTCCCAAGATCGATCGTGTCGGAAAAGAACTTGGACTTTCTCGTCTCTGGAGAATCGACGCTATGGGACCCCGGCGAACACGTCACTGCGTCGCACGCGTGTACACGCGTGCGTGTGTGTACGTACGTGTGCGGAGCAGATTTGCCAGGGGTGAGTCGAGATCTCAAGGGTTGCAGGGGTAACTCACTATCGTGTACGGTTTATTGGGGAGTGACGGGACGCGTGGACAAATCTTTCGTCCCGTTCGCTGTATCGTTCGATCAAAGAACGATTGCTCGACGCAACATATTACAATTAATAATTCTAAATATAAAAAAAAACATTATCAAACAAAGAAATAAAACGTCACAGTAACTAGAAATTTTTATATTAACAAAATCACGAGTTATTTTAATGCATGTAGTTAAGAAATCAACATATTCTTTTAAAATAAACTAGATGTAAAAAGTTTACTTAAGAATGGAATTAAAATTATATTAATAATTTTTTTTTCTTAAAAATAGTCTTTTCATTTGACACTCGCAATTTGTCACGTTGAATAGTAATCGCGCGTAAACTGATGTAACGCGATGACGGACGCGATTACCTCCGGAACTGGCGGACACATCGGAAAGAAGTGCGCATCGCCTGACGAATCGGCCGCGACTTCGTAAGACGGTATTGAATCGCGCTAATTTAGTTCGATAATGTAATTTCACGCGGAACACGTAGCGGCCGTAGAGTGCCGTCGTGCAATAACCCCGGCGTGCGCGCATGTAACTCCCCGGCTTTTCATTCAAGACGTGCCGCACGATCGAACTAATTAATTCGTCGCACGGCACCACGGCCGGTGCGGTGCGGGTTGCGCGCGAGCGCGCCCGCCAGAATTTTTGCCCGCCTTCCTGCATCCCTGCTGTCTGTCTATCTCGAATCCCGGGGCAGAGGATCGTGACAGATCATTCCGTCGATACGGAACTAATCCGCCGAGTGAAAAACTAGTGCCTAACACGCGCGCGCGCGCTCGAGTCGGCACGCGGCCTAGAATTTTTCAAGGCTGTGCCCCTTAGAAACGACATGTATACACTTGCTGGACTATAACGAAATATTCAAAGGAGATTTATTACTTTCTCTATCATTAATATTTTTTTTTATAGACTATTATCATTCCTACGTTGTATAACACGTATTTTCACAAACGTCCTTGCAGATGCTTCGTGGAACACGTAATGTCTATATCTCGCATAGAATACGCTAAAATTGTGACATTGTTGTGTGAAGACATCGTTGCTTAATGAATAAAAACACAATTTCTTGATATTCGCTGCGTTCTGAAATTATCTTTTCAGAGGTTCTATTAAAGAGAAAACCTTTCTCTCGTTGCACTTGAAGTGACTAGTTCAATGCGAATTTATTCATTGCACGTCTAATACCGCTAGGCTACCATAAACACTCAACGTAGATAAGATAGAGCCATTAATCAGGGAATTGATCGATTTCAAGAGCCGTTGCGGTATATTCATCGTTGAAATATAATAATATTCAGCTCGACGTGGGGATCTGCGAGTAATTTTCCTTCTCTGACGGAAATGACCTCAATTTTCCTAAGAATTTTATGCTCGTCAAAGTAAACAAATTTTTTTTAACTATAATTTAGCAATTTACGAAATTTGTGCACATATATATAACGATATTTCGTAAATCTTATGTATGTAAGTCTAACATAAACGTTTTCGTTGAGGCAATTTACTCTTCTTGATTGCAAAAGACGGGCATAATTCATCGTTACTAAAATAACATTGGCACGGGTATCGATCGCCATGCGGTTATCTTGCGCGACGACTCGTTCCCATCGATACTCGGTTATAGCATCGGACATTTACGTTCGATAAGTCCCCGACCCTTCCTGAAAGTTTAGACATTCCGAGTTTTCGAGAATCTGTTTACTTCTCCAACGTGACGATATTTCAGATTGTAACACGTGAAACAGTCGCTAGCCAGTTCTTTCCCTAAGTTCGCAAATATATACGTGTATGTCGACTACGAGCATTCGATAAATTCATTAATTATTGAAAAATCCGTGCATATACGTAATATAATATACATATAGTCGGAGTCGAAATAATCAAGAATGATATGCTTTCTGCTCTACAGATAATTTATTTAAAATTTAAACAAAATTCGTGAGATTATTTTGTATTTTCCCAGCACGATTATATGACTCTGTACTTTTTACTTTTGACGCATGTTTATCGACCGTGTTAACCGCCGCGTGCTTGAAAGGGTTAAGGTAAGGGGTCAGGCCGCGTCCGATTACTCCGGTCGGCACCGTACGACGCCCCACGTGCTCGTGCCGGAAGCGGCATCGGCACGGCGCGGCGCGGCGCGGCG